ATGAGAACCACTGGACTAGATCAATCGAAAAGTTGACAATTTACAAAGCTGATCGCAAATCCATGTGATGGTGTGTGCGAGGGAAGATAAAGGTGTCCACCACTTGAAATTTCCGTTTCTTCTTGATTTTAGCCCTGGAGTTAGTAGTTTCAGGTTCAACACTCGGGTTCAGATTCACGTTTGACTTATCCATTCAGCTATATTAGGTATTGGTTAAACTCAGTCGATATCTTCTAAGAGATCAGTAGCACAATCGTACTAATCATAATAATTCTAAACCATCAGGCTGATGAAATCAAAATAATGCTTTTACTAGTAATGGTACGTATTTATGAAGATGCATGAGCATTTCAGACGTCGTCTTTGGAAACCATCCTCGTTGATTCGTCGACGTAGTACGAGCGATAAGAATCAACGACATGGATTCTCGTATTTGAACGCTGGATTTCGTTTTGCTGAAGAGGAGTCTTCCAATGCCACAACAAACTGCTCACAACGGCATCGAATGTCAATTTCACTGAATGAAGATCACATTTTCAACAACTCTCATGACAGTAATAATAACAGCAACAATCGATACCGATTCAATCACTTTGACTTTGATGATAACGATAATTCTACGATTATCTCGCCGGCGATTGAGGATTTTATATCGTCTCGAATGTCCTCATCCGCTCAGATTCCGTTAAGGGGTAAACCATCATCACTGACTAGAATTGATGCTACGAAAAATAACAATAACAGAAAAAATTGTCACCATAACACTAATAAAAATAATCATAAAAACAATAAGGATAGCAATAATATTAATAATAATACTACTAATTATAACTCTAATAGCAACGATAATAGCACAAACAATAACAACCAGAATAATAACCGTAATAATGGAAATAAGAATAAGAGTAAAAATAAGACTGGAAACAGTAGTAATACTAATAATAGTGATGTTATTAATTGTAACAATACAAGTAGTAATGATAGTATCAGTGATAACAATAGAAATATCAACGGAAATAACGACAGCAACAGTAACAACAATAGAATTAAAAGCACTAGTAATGAACAAACGTTCACTAAAATTAAGAAATCAACTCCAAAACAAATCTCAGCTCGAATGTCTTTAGTTATATGATTCACTTGTCTACTGAAGATGTCTGTTATGCAGATTTAGTATCGAACTATCCTATTTTCAAGGTATTCTAATCATAATTTTCAGAATTCAAGAAAGGCCTTCCAAATTTTGAGGAGTAACTCACAACCTATTGTAAATTGTCCAGCAAACGCTTAAACTTAAGTCTAGGTCCAGGTTGAAGTCTGTGCTTAGTTCGAGCTCAGTTTCGAACTCAGTCCATGGCTGATGCTGGAAACTGTAAGGAAATATTTTGGAAATGGGTGGAGAATTGTGAAAGTGTGATCGATTTTGCACGAAAATCTGTGATTATCTGTAGTGCGATTGTTCTAATGAGAATGCGTTAAGATTAGAAATAATTCATTGAATATATTTGCTATTTCGCTAAGTTTTAATTGCGTGCTGAGAAAACACTCTTCTGAATCTATAGGTGAACGTCTAAACTTGAGTTCATTTACAAGACGAGTTCGTTGAAACGTTGAAGATTTCATGAAAAGACTGATGATCCGGTGGTGTAAGCGCCGATAAATTTAGTCAATTTAGTCGATCAGGACCAAATTGTTTAGTCATTCTCATTGTTTTTTTCTTTCATGATTATCACTGCGTACATTTGCCCATTCACTATTTATCAGTTAACGTCCGCGTGTTCAACGTTGTTTGTTTCATTGTTTGTTTGTGTGTAACCAAATACATCAATTTATTATTTATTGCCTTGCTAATTTCATTTTATCGCTTCAACCACAAAATAGATTTTATCGCCTCTACTCAGTCGAAAACTTCAAGAAATGGCTCATTTCCCGTAACCACCTCCACCACAAGCGTCGTTCGATAGCCCAACTGATCAATATTATGCATCAAGCAAGGAGAATTGAAGCCGATCTCCACCTATCATGAAATAAGATTTGCCAATTGAACTGGATGGTCGTTTCAGCAAATGATTTGAATTCAAAAGTGTGATCCATGTTTGAAGGTTGAATGAATTAAGGCGATGAATTGAAGCGAAATTGGAGAAACTTTGAAGGAATAGTTTATTTCACTGCATCTAAACAAAACAAACAAATAACAAATACAATGTTACATTGTTATTTCTCAAAATTGGAATCCACAGTCCTGTATCTATGACTTGTGCCGTTTCTTTTCCAGGACTACGGATTTCTAAGCGTAAATCACGACCTAAGGAACCCAAATCCCCAACCTAACCCAATTCATCAAACAGTTTCTTTTGAGGAACATATACTAGTAGCAGCCTAAAACAAAAAATGTGGGCTCTTGGGCGAGTATACCTCATTAACCACAATCTCTGAGCATATGCGAGTGACTGGCTTGAGGAGCCCTCAATAATCAATTGAACCAAATTATAATCAGCGATTTCTAAATGAGCAAAATTCACAAGTTATTCACCCTTTCAATCAAATTATTATTTACGAACAGCATCCNCTAAACAGATCAATCATCAAGTTTCATGTCCAGTAATTCGAGAGCGGTAGTATCTAGTAACAACATCTTTCTTCCTCAACAAATCCTCATCTAATTCACCGCGTTTCTCTTTCAAACGCCAGTTGAAACGATTCACCGGATGATCGGCACCTTTCCATTGCCTCACCAACACATTGTAACTGAAAGCGTATTCTCAAAACTGCTTATGATCTATTTGAGGTTTCGTTTTTTTTATATTTGAGGTTTTTTGAATATATATTTGAGGATTTTTAAATATATATTTGAGGTTTCTACAATATATACTTTATACTT